AGGTGTGCTCAGAGGGAGGGGGGGGGGCGCCTCGACCCGGCAGCGTCCACGACGGCACTCGCCCTGATTACGTCGAACCCAATCCGACGAGCTCGGTTACGGAGGAGGCACGGCGTGCGATGGCTCTCGCACCGCACACACTACGTGTGTGTGTGGGGGGGGGGGATGGGGGTCCAAAGAGCAGTTCGCGAGTTCGCTCGTGGTCCAGCGCTGATCCTACGTCGTCGCCTTATTGAGCCACCACCACCCCTGATCCCCTCACTGATCCCTCCTTCGCCTAATCCCCGCTACTCAGTTGTCCTGCTCCCTATAGGGGCTCCTCCAACACACCCCCTCTCCCTCTCTCCCTTTCGGTCTTCACTGACCAGGTGACAGATGTCCCCCTTTCCCCTCCTCCGCTGGGCTTGCCGGGCTACTCGAGTAAGTGCTGATCACGCGTCTCCTCTCCCGCTCCTAGTGGCATGAGTGAGTACAGATCGTTGCTCTTCTGAGCCCACTCCGGCCCACTCCAACTGAGTACTAACCGCTGCTTGCTGCCGCTTTGCCTGCTCCTCTCCCAATGAGTACTGACCGTTGGTGCCGTCCTGCCCTCAGCCGTGGCGCGCTTCGCAGCGTGCGCGCCATGATGCGGCTGGGCAAGTCACGGCCCAAGGAGTCCTCCAGCGACACGGAGGAGGCCGGGCTGCTGGAGGGCGCGGGCGGGACTGCCAGCGGGCCCATGTCCAGGGCGTCGTCGCAGACGTCGCTCTCCTCCAACGAGAGCCAGCTGTCGACCGGCGTCGCGGACCGGACGCCCACCAAGAAGTGAGCCTCCGTCACCTTGAACGTATGGGGGTATCGTCCTGACCCGAAACTAATGTCGACTGATGGACACACTTGTTTCCTCTAGGGTCAAGATGTCGCAGGTGGTGCAGTCGGCGCTCAAGGCTCAAGACTTCCAGGTGTGCCTAACAGTGATCGAGGCGAGGCAGCTAGCAGGCCTGAACATGGACCCTGTAGTCTGCATTCAGGTCGGCGATCAGAGGAAGTACACGAGCGTCAAAGAGAGCACCAACTGCCCGTACTATAACGAGGTTTGGCCACAACGTGCTAACTAAATTGATGTTGCTTTATAAATGAGTGCCAATTACATTTGACTGATTTACATTTCAGTATTTTGTCTTCGACTTCCACATGCCACCCATCATGTTATTCGACAAGATCATTACGCTCTCGGTAAGCACGAAGACGATGTCTAATAGAACTTAAATAATGCAAATATTTTGAAGTAAGGGTGTTGTACCATACATAACTTCTAGCTCGAAAACGTTTCATACTTGTCTTGTGAAATCGTAAGAGTGATATATCATTCATCTGGGCTACTAACTGGCGTCTGTCCAAGTCTGGTTCTTTGCAAACACATTGGTCGTGTGTTATAGGTGTTGCACTCTAGGACTCTGTTTTTGCGCTGTGGGACCGTAGTCGGGTCTTTCAAGATTGATCTGAGGACTGTCTATGATGCGCCTGGTATACACAACAAATATACATGCCGATTTTATTCACAAACTCATATTTTATGATGTATTGTGACTTCATCGTATATATCTCGTAGCATCTCTAGCGAAAAGCAAGCCAAGGCGAAACGTATTCACTTCTTGACAGTCGTAGTCGTAGTAAAATGCACGCTAAATGTTTATGTACAAAATTGTGCCGTAATAAAGCTGTACATAATCTCGTGTGTACTTGATGAGCAAATTTGTGAATAAACATCTGGGGTGTGCGCAGTACAGTTGAACTGTTCTTTCATCGTACTGTAAAATGTAATGTTTTCCGGAAATGCAAGGTAACGTTTCAAACGCAAACAAACCTCCAATGAAATGTCCACAACACTACGTACCTTGGCGTGCTTTTCCCAGATATAAACGAGCTTTCTTTTGAAAATCACTCTTTCATATGGTAAACCTACTCTGTCGTCTGTCAAAGTGCATTCTTCAAAACGCGCGACACGGCTATAAAGAGTACACACGTGCGTTTCATGTAATTGAGCACCGCTGGTTTGAGTAGAGTTGGCAGCAAGGAAGCATGTGTCCGTCTGTCCGCGAACTGTTTTAACATGGACTCTCCTCTTCTCGACGGGTTAGATCGCGTAAGGCACACATGGGGGCATCCAGTTTGTTGGTTCATCATGAGGAAATTCATCCATACTCATATTCAAAGTGCTGACACTTTCTGTTCTCGTTGACGTGCCCGGCACTCCTCTCGCAGGTGCTGCAGTCGAGGAACATTCTCAGAACAAACAAAATGTTGGGCAGCTTTAAGTTAGACGTGGCCACAATCTGGTCGCAGCCAGGTACCGTATCGCCCTCGTAGGCCAAAAAACCCAGGATCTGGCGGCCGGTCTTAGCACACTCGCGCCCACCACCACCGTCTCGGCCCGCTTTGTCGTTGTGCAGCGCACTGCTGTCCGGCGAGGAACATAGTGTCGACAATTATTGTCGAGCAACAAAATTATCCGACAACCGTAGTATGAGAAATTGCTCGCGCGGTGTGCTGGGAGCGGCGCAGTGCTGTGTGCCCCTAGTTAGCTAGTAGCTAAACCTGGCTAAACCCGCCCGCCCCGCCTGACCTGCGCCCGGGCCTGAGCCGCACCGAGACCGGGACCCGGCCCGGCGGTTCAGCGACATTGTGAACCTGTGTGGCCGCGGTTTTATTTTTCAAACTCCTATAATTTATTGATTTTTGTTACGGAGAAAATATTGTAGAATTTATTCCAACGTTTTCTTTTTCGGCTTTAAAGGGGTACGCGCGCGGGTGCTATACATTTGAATATTACAAAGCAGTCTGCAGCATTGCAGCTAAATCCACTCTGTGCGACACGCGAACATTTGGTTATCCGAGACCGTGCTGCTCGCGACCTCCCCGTCAGACCGGAGCCTGGGGCGGTGCATGGCTACACCAGCAGGCTCAGCTTGTATGCGGCCGGGAACTTACTTGGCCGACGCTTACACCCAGACCTGTAGTAGTTTATAAGCCAAACGACTAGCGGCACGTGGTCTGCAAGAGAGCAAGCGATGAATGACCTAGTCATGTTTCACGAGAACGTACCCCCACCTACACGTGAGCTGTGCATCCGTCTATTTCGCTTTTCTGGAAACCGTAGATTCGTTTTGCTGCCTTCCTCCGTTGCTGCATTCTTTCCCACTTGAACACTCGTAGATACTTTCCACTTCCTCTTTTTCTTCTCACACCTGCATGGCACATTTTTTTAATCAATTTTTTTTTGTCCTTTCCTATCAATGAACTTAATGCGCTCTTAATGCCTGCCGGTGGGTCCCTTACGCGCTCTTCGCCCGTCGTTGCAGACCACCAGTTCTACCACAAGTGGGCCCTGCTCACGGACCCGGACGACATCGCGGCGGGGCCCAAGGGCTACCTCAAGTGCGACATCAGCGTCATCGGCAAGGGCGACACCGTCAAGATCCCGCCCAAGAGCGAAAAGGACGAGGACGACATCGAAGCGTGAGTAGGGGGCCGTTCCGAAACCACGTGGAAAATCGGGGGAGGGGGGGGGGATCCAAATATTATTGATTCGCAAAAGGGTCAGGGCCTTCATTGGAGTCCAAGGAGACCCCATGATGTTTGTACCCCGCGGGATAAAAATATCATGGGGTCTCCTTGGACTCCGATGATGGCCCCGATCCTTTTTTTCGAACCCCATAATATTTGTACCCCCCGACGACTGTCTCATGCGCCTCTCGCATTGGTCGCCAGGAACCTGTTGCTCCCGGACGGGGTGCCGGTGGAGCGGCAGCGCGCCAAGTTCATCATCCGCGTGTACCGCGCCGACGGGCTGCCCAAGATGAACTCGTCCATCATGGCCAACGTGAAGCGCGCCTTCACGGGCGAGGCCAAGGACCTGGTCGACCCCTACGTGCAGGTGTCGTTCGCCGGCATGACGGGCAAGACGAGCGTGCGGCGCAACTGCTACGCGCCCGTCTGGAACGAGCAGATCGTCTTCAACGAGATGTTCCCGCCGCTGTGCCAGCGCATCAAGCTGCAGCTGCGCGACAACGACCCCGTCAACAACACCGTCATCGGCACGCACTTCCTCGACCTAAAGACCGTCTCCAACGACGGCGACAAGGGTGAGCCGGTTGTCCTTCTCCCTCCAAGCAGCGTCCATTTGTTCGTTAGTCATAACTATACTATTCTCCTTGTCTTTCTGCCCCCAGGTTTCCTGCCCACGTTCGGGCCGGCCTTCGTCCACCTGTACGGCTCGACCCGGGACTACTCGCTTATCGACGAGCACGCCTCGCTCAACGCGGGCCTCGGCGAGGGCGTCTCCTACCGCGCCAGGATCCTGGTGTCCGTGCGGACGGAGATCACCGACTCAATAGACGTAGCCCCCTCCGACGACGTGGAGGTTGAGCCGGCCTACCCTATCAACGAGGTCTGCACCCTGCCTTTAAGACGAGTTAGACCGCAGGTCTATCACAGCAGTGAAGCTAAAACCCGAACCGGGGTCGGTTTGTCCGCAGTCCTCGTACGGCAAGAACGAGGAGTTCTTCCTGTTCGCCACCATCCTGGACGCGTCCATGATCGACAAGAAGCTCGGCGACAAGCCCATGTACTTCGAGCTGAGCATCGGCAACGCGGGCAACACCCTGGACGGGCACAACGAGTCGGCGCAGGAGTACCAGAACGCGGACGAGGAGGAGGCGCCAGGTAAGGGGTCGTCGTCGTGCAGGGCGCGCGCCCTCAAGAGTTGGTCAGGGCCACCATGCAGAGAAGGAATCCCATGATATTTGCATCCCAGGAGTGACCAGATATCATGGGGTTGCCCAAAGAGTTCCTGATGAGTACAATGAACCGTAGGCAAATTCACTCAAAAAACCCAAATTCACTCAAAAAACCCAAATTAAAAAATTCAGAAAAATCA